GCATCATTTAACAGTAATATCTAAAAATAAAAATTTCTTTGCAACCATAAAAGTAAGATAGAAAATGACATCATAATCATAGCTAAAAATAAACAAAAATTTTTTTTATTGGCAAATTTTAAATGGAGTTTATTATACTAAAACAATAAATTTGCAACCATAAACATGATAAAACCCCATTTAAACACATCATAAAAGTATTAAATAATTCAACTACATCATAAGGCTATAAAAATAGAAAATGACTTCATAGTCAAGGCTAAAGGTAAACAAAAAACCTTCATCAGCAAAATTTTATATTGGCAAATTTCCAATGAAGTTTATTACACTAAAATTGTTGGCAAATTTCCAATGCATTTATTAACAATAAAGTTATTGGCAAATTTCCAATTTACATAATTTAAAAGCAGTGTAGATGAGATATTTAAATGAGTTTGAATTACCAACCTTACACTGCTTTTAAATAATGTTCTTTACTCAATTATTTGTCTATTAAAATGGAAACCCTTGTTTTTTAACCTTTTTCCCCCTTATTCCTTAAACATTAGAGCCATAAACACACCCCCCCTCCCCTCCAAAGCCAATTATTACTTTCCAATGTAACTTAAATTTCCAATATACATAATTTTAAATTTCAATTCCTCATGATATATAACCGTATCATTATTATTTTCTTTCATATATAAATCTGAAACAACCATCTTTAAATGGAAAATTTTAAAGAAAAAAAAAGGAAAAAAAAAAATCCTTCCTCCCACACATTTTTTCAACCCCCTTTTGATTCATCATCCCCCACCTCAATCACAACCTTCAATTTGTGGTATGGTACATTGCAATACAATTTCACAGAGATCCATACACTTGAACACAAGTTTTTGTTGCAAACTAAAAAAATCCTTATTTTTGACCAATATTTGGCCCCTTATTCATAAATGTTTGAGCAATTAACCCCAACACTCAATTCCTACTTTCTCTTCGTGATAAAAAATAACTAACTTAAAATGTAAATTTTAAACAAAAAAAAAAGGTAAAAAAAAAATTACCCCTTTTTTGACCCCCTCCCCCCTTATGATTCATCACCCCCACCCCCCTTTCCCCCCAAACCAAGCTCAAAAACAGCCTTGCCTTTGTGGTATGGTACCTTGTAATACAATTTTAGAGAGATCCATACACTTGAACACAAGTTATTGTCTAGAAACTAAAAAATGCTTATTTTAAACCCCTTTTTAGGCCCCTTATTACTAAACGTTTTGGGCAATTACCACAACACTCAATTCCAGCTTTCCCTTTGTGAAATGGAACCTTGTAGTAAAATTTCAGAAAGATCCATACACTTACACACAAGTTATTGTCATGAAACTAGAAAAATGCTTGTTTTTTGCCCCCTTTTGGCCCCTTATTCCTAAAATTTTGAGGCAATTAACCCCAAAATCAATCCCAGCATTGACCCTTTGTGATATGGAATCTTGTGGTACAATGTCAAAGAGATCCATATGCTAACACACAAGTTATGTCTGGAAGTTACAAAAATGCTTATTTTCGGCCCCTTTTTGGCCCCTAATTCCTTAACTGTTGGTACCATAACCCCAAAATCAATCCCCACCTTCCTATTGTGGTATTGAACCTTATGGTGAAATTTCATAGAGATCCATTCACTTAAACTAAAGTTAAAGTGCGAAAACCATTGTGTATTCGGACGACGACGCCGGACGACGACGACGACGACGCCAACGTCATACCAATATACGACCTCAAAATTTTTTTGCGGTCGTATAAAAACTAACGGATAAGAAAACAATTATGTAAATTAATATCTTATGTTCAGAAGTAAAAAAAAAGTATAGGCAGTGGGATAAAACATTCATTTCCCTGCTTAGGGAGATATGAAGATTTGTTCACCCTCGAAAAGTCACATTTCCCTCGGGCGATGCCCTTGTGAAATATGATTTTTCTTGGGTGAACAAATCTTCATATCTCCCTCAGGCACGGGAAATAAATGTATAGTATCAACCTCATCAAAGGTCAATAATTGTATAATGTCATTAATAGAAAGAACACAATCTTTGTGCAGGTCATTGAAAAAAACAGATAAAATTTGCCTACAAATGTACATAATGTCTAAAAATCCTTAGAGAAACAGAATCAACCACTGTCATGATCGTATTTTGTGTGATATGATTTTTTTCCACCCTCTACAATCATGACAATTAAATTTAAAATTTTCATAAAAATAACAGTCTGTAGAAAAGAAATTTATACTGTATCACAATAAATGCAGCGGGATCTTATTATTGCCCGATTTATTTTTTTTTCCCCCGACTGATTGATTTATTGTTTACAATCAAAGTATGGTTGTTTGATCTGAGTTCTTCATTGGTAGAATTTCAATTACGACGTAAAATTATATACTATATATATCATATATTCCAATTGAATATTCTATAGGTCTTCTTTATTTATAACTTCTACTTTATGGCATAAAATTATCATTTTTACAAATATTTGTCAATATTTCTTTGTCTTTATTGTTAATCAACCAAATAAAAAGAAATTTCTTATAAAGTCTGTTATCAAAATCATGAAGATCTGTTATCAAGTCTTTTTTACATCACCAATCTACACAAATGATCTATGTATGTGGCTATCGTGTTTATAAGATGAACTAACCACTGCCTTCTTTAATTTCATAAAAAAAAGGACCAATTACCCTATCTTATGTCATACAACTAATTATAAATTTGCTATTTTCGCATACAATGAGCAGTCATAAAGACATAACAGCAAATTGATTATTGATTCCATCCTAACAGAGATATATGATCTGGTATGACAGGAAAACTCTGGTCTCAATGGCCATTTAAATAGGTTGTGTAAATTTTTTAATAACTTCTCTGGTGTGAAGAATAAAAAAAACTCTCTTGATACATTGTTTCCGTGACTGCAAATCAACGTCAGAGGCCAGATACAGAACAAAATCACTGTATCTCAATGGATATCTCTATAGAGTAGACAAGACAGTTTTCTTTAAATTACTTACATGTACAAATTTAATCAAAGCCTAAATCTATGAAAAAATCACATCAGTTCCAATTAAAATACATTAGGGGTTGAAAGAATTTTGGAGGAAAATATCCGATTTCAAAGTTCAGGAGTATAACCTGAGGAAGTTGATGAGTATAACCCAAGAAAGTTCAAGAGCATAACCTCAAGGAAGTTCAGGAGTACAACTTGAGGAAGTTCAGGAGGATAACCTGAGGAAGTTCAGGAGTATAACCTTAGGAAGTTCAGAAGTATAACCCAAGAAAGTTCAAGAGCATAACCTAAGGGAGTTCAGGAGTATAACCTGAGGATGTTCGAGAGTATAACCTTAGGAATTTCAGGAGTATAACCTGAGGAAGTTCATGAGTATAACCCAAGAAAGTTCAAGAGCATAACCTAAGAAAGTTCATGAGCATAACCTAAGGAAGTTCAGGAGTATAACCTGAGGAAGTTCAGGAGTGTAACCTGAGGAATTTCAGGAGTATAACCTGAGGAAGTTAGGAATATAACTCAAGAAAGCTCAGGAGTATAACCTAAAGAAGTTCATGAATATAACCCAAGGAAATTCAGAGTGAAACCTCAGGATCAATGCATACATTTATAGTTAATCAAAATACTTTTTACCAAACTCTTACAGTTGTGATACAAAATTAGATTGTCTTCTTATTAGTGAGGTTTAAAACACTGTATGTCAATGGTAATGCCAATGTTAAACAAGAAAAAATTACATATTTTACACTTTGGCCAATATCAAACACGTCTTTGAAATAAAATGCAAATAAATGTGGATAGTGTCCACATGTGGACACAGATGATGCCCCCGCTTGCATATCATATAGTTATAAAGGGACATAACTGAAGAACAGTAAAAATGACGCTACACAAATTTGAACTTGATCTGATTTTTGTGGTAATAAGCATTGTGTGTAAGTCTCATAACATTTGGTTGAGGCTAACTTAAGTAGAGAACAGAAACTAAAAATTCAGCAATTTTTCTATTTGTAAACACGCATAACTCTAGAACAGTTGTGTATAAGTTTCATATCATTTGGTTGAGGCAAACTAAAGTTAGAAACGGAAACAAAAAATTTGTACTTGATCTTAGTTTTGTGGTAATGAATATTGTGTATAGGTTTCATAATGTTTGGTTGAGGCAAACTTAAGTTACAGAATGGAAACTAAAAATTTTGCAACCTTTCGATTTATAAAGGGGCATAACTCAATAATGGTTAAAGTGACACTACCCAAATTCAACTTGATATGTGTTTTATCGGTGGAAGTCAAAATTAAACATTGCATTGTATAAAGCATTGATTGTAAGTGCTTCAACTATAATCATGGACAAAGGAAGATAACTCATTTTTTTAAAATAACTTGATATTTAGAAGAAAATAAAAATTTTGCAATTTTTCCATTTATAAAAGGGGCATAACTCTAGAACGGTTAAAGTGACGCCACCAAAATTCAAACTTGATCTGTGTTTTGTGGTAATAAGCATTGTGTATAAGTTTCATAACATTTGGTTGAGGCAAATTTAAGTTAGAGAACGGAAACTAAAAATTTTGCAATTTTTCCATTTATAAAGGGGCATAACTCTAGAACGGTTAAAGTGACGCCACCAAAATTCAAACTTGATCTGTGTTTTGTGGTTATAAGCATTGTCTATAAGTTTTATAACATTTGGTTGAGGCAAACTCAAGTTAGAGAGCGGAAACCAATTTTGGGACGTACGGACGGACGTACGTACGTACATACAGACGGACAAGGGTAAAACTTAATGCCCCCACCGCTACGGCGGGGGCATAAAAGCAAAGGATATCTGTTTACAGATCGGTTGTTAATATACTATCGTAGAAAATTTTTCAACTATACATGAATTAGAGACTCAATCAACCATGTTGTCAACTTAGGGGTGTCAATCAATATTAGATGAGGAAGCATCTACATAAGGTTACATGTACCTTAAGGTGTTTTCATTCTGTACAAATTTCTGTGCTATTCTTGTCTTTTAACCTTTTAAGTAAAAATAAGTCAGATAATTGAATGTTTAACAACATGTACACTGTAATTTGTTATACAACTTATACAGTACACATATGATAAGGTGATTTAGTAGAAAATCTCTGTTGCTGGTGTCAATTTTTTGTGAGACACAATGATTGCCAGTGACTGAAGATGTCAATTTATTGTGAGACACAATGATTGCCAGTGACTGAAGATTATCACTTGTCATATATTAAGTGAAATACTGCAAATTCAGAAATTTTTGCTACGTTTTTCTTAATGCCAAAACTGCAATGGGATAGATTTCGCATAACCGGAATAATTCAGTCCCTTCCTGTAATCGATCTCTCCTACTTGTGAGGGCCTGAATTCTTTAAACTCTTTATGAATCCTGGATTCTGATTGGTGCCCTGTAGAAGAGGTGACCAATCAGCAATCAGCTCAATTTTATCGAGATAGGTAAATCCCGTGCTAATTCCGAATGATTGATAGAAGATTTTTCATTGTCTATGCATTCAGGCGAAGTAATCGTAGTTCAGCGGAATATAATGACTGAATTATTTGGGTTAGGTTTTGCAAAAATAAAAATTAAATAGAAAAAACAAAGGATATGGGGTATCCATCCATGACACAAAAACAGTACTTGCACAGCAAAAAACACACAATAAGCATTTAGGAACAGCGCTTTTATTGCTGTTCGTCATCTCAAAGTCACAGTGAGGCCTTCAACACGGAGCAAAAAAACTCTCACCTCACTGCAATTTTAAGACGGCCCCTAGCACTGGCTTGCATTTTAGATTTAAATAGTTTATGTAGAATACATTGTATTCAGAAATTGCAAAAATTAATTTGACATTTGTATCCATTCTTCAAAAATTGCAAAAATAAAGGACACGAAATTTCTGAACTTTCAGTAAAACATATAAACAGAGAGATATTTCAAGGTGGACCACCAAATCACTAGGAAAAATTCAACACCAAGTGATTTTGTAACTGGATTGTCTCACATTTTTTTTTTTATATGTATACTTTTTCCATTTAAATGGCAGATTATAAAAGCATCGCTATCAATATATGAAAATCCAACCAAACCAACCTCCAAGCAGGTTATCTCTATTAATTCAAGTTACTCTTGGTTTCTTCTTTCTTAAAATAATTTTTTTTTTATAAATAAACAAAATAAATGGAGAATGTGTCCATGGGACACAGATGATGCCCCCACTTGCATATAACGTTATAAAGGGACATAACTAGAACTGTATAAGTAAGGCCACCCAAATTCGAACTTGATCTGTGTTTTGTGGTAATAAGCATTGTGTAAAAGTTTCATATCATTTTGTTGAGGCAAACTAAAGTTAGAGTCTAACGAAAACCAATTGGATGACGTTCGTATGGAAGGAAGGGGCATAAAAATGTGTGCGGCTCACTCATCACTGTTGTACATGCAACTTAAGAATTTTACTATTGTACAGGTTAAGCATAGTCTTAATACAAACTTGTTTATGAATACAATGGGATATCTGAAATTCTAGTCTTTGTTTTAAATCTACTTCATACAATGTATCCCAATCTTTACGTCAAATAAGGAATGTAATAACATACTGAGGAAGATATTTCACATGCTACATACAGCTTTATAAAGTAAAATCCATTGTAATTCTTATTTATACTCCACTGTGGCAATTAAGAGCCTAACCAGGGTTGGCAAAAATCTGGGTTTTAAGAGTACATATTGCCCAGTCCAGTGGGAAATTCACAGTCAAATTTTGCTCACATGAATTTCACATGAACCTGACTTGAAATTCACATAAAATTCACCTCAACCGAGCTTATACTTTAAACTCACGTGAATTGAGATTCACATGTATCTCATACGAAATTTTTCAAGTGAACTTCACCAAAATAAATGGAATATGTGTCCATAGGACACAGATGATGCCCTCACTTTCGTATAGCATTATAAAGGGGCATAACTAGAGAACGGTCAAAGTGACGGCGCCCTAATTCAAACTTGATCAGTATTTTGTGGTAATAAGCATTATGTATAAGTTTCAGAACAGAAACCAATTTTGGGACGTATGTACGGACGGACGCAAGGACAAAGGTTACACTTAATGCTCAATCCAGTGACGGCAAGGGCATAAGAATTAGTATATTTCTGGATTTTAATTAAATGTGAAAATTTAAATGATATTTGAATAACTTTATATTGAAAATTCACGTGAATATCATGTCACATGTGAAAAAAATTTATGATGTGATTTTCATGTGAAATTCATGTGAGTTTCACTTATGAGCTTGTTTAAGGTTAAATTCACGTAAGTGAAATTTCCCTGTCATGCCTGTGTAATGGGAAAACCCAGGTTTTACTGGGTTTTATCAGGAAATACTGGGCAATATGAAATACTGGCTTGAATCTTTAAGAGGAGTGATCAACTACAAATGTTTTACTTAAAAGATACACTGTAAAAGAAGACAGAATAATTTAATATAAGTTCATTTGTTTGAGACTCTTATTATATAGTGAATAAATTGAGAAGTATTTGTCCAGCTACTCTAAAAGACATACATGAACACACATGAACGTATGTCAACAGGTTTCTCAAAAAGATTTATACATGTAGATAATCCTCCTAAAATTGCATGATCTGAATTAGTTTTAGCATTCAAAGCACAAGATACATATATGTACATGTAGGAGATTATCATAGGTATATTTTCACTTCTAAAACAACAAATTATGGATAACTGTTCTACAAAATCATTACTTTCCAATTTATAAATGAACATGATGAGCTTTACCGGCACATAGGATTTTTGTTGCTTTATTTATCCTTAAAAGGCAAAACATCATTTTAATAAAAATAAGGAGATGGTGTGGTGTTACAGCACAAGTAACCAAAAGATAAGACAAATAAGAGTCTTTTAGCAAAGGGTACAGATGTACTCTTAAAAGTTTACTTAAATATATATGCCACTGTATGAAGAGGTTCATTTTACAATTTGTTTACATAGAAATGTTTACAGTACCTGCTGACGTGGTTAATGTTATGAAACTTTCTGAAAGTAGAGATGTGTGTATGGGGAAGCCTCAAAAGTCATTATACTGTAATGATGATATATTCATCACTTCCCTGGCTAGGTAATAGGTATTATTTCTTCTAACTGTTGGTTTTTTGTTGGGTGCCAATTTTGTAACCAGAGAACATGATATGCCTTCCAAAATCAATTATTGTACCAGCCGGGATTGGAACCAGGGACCCCTGGCATACATGTACACACAAATGTAGTAACTCTACCAACTAGGCTAAAGGAACTCTCCACTAGTACAGCTAATGCAGAGTGGTTATAAATCTACTAGGTAAGGGGAAGCATAGCTACAGCTCTCTGAATTGTTCATTAATTCTTATGCTTTGATTAAATTTGATGTCTCATGCATTATACTACTATTAAAACACACTTGTGACGTAAATCTATTGTTATAACTCTCCATTATTTTCCAGGAATGGAGAGTTATTTCTTATTGTCCGTCTTTAATTAGGCGTATGAAATACCCTGAGGGAAAATCTTTGTGACTAATACCTAGACTTTGTAACCGATGACAACAATTTACCTAGAAGACTTGCCACAAGTACATTTGATATTTATATTTGTCTCCTCTAACATTGCCTCCTATCAAAATGCAGTAGTTTTACTTAAAACCCCCTTTTGAATTAATGTTCCATATTTCTGCGTATTTTTATAGGAAAAGTGAAAGAGAAGAAAATAAAAAAATAAAAAATGTACTTGTAAGAAGTGATTACAAACATCAAACAAGAAATACATTTGCACTTATGTTCGTTGTATCGGTGTTAAGGGGACATGACGACTGAAACTAAAAAAAAGAATATAGGAGCACTTCATATTTATTACTATACTCAGACATTTCCAACATCAAAACACAACAATTACTGAAATATTACACTTCACGTCATGGAAATATTCAATGTAAATGACAAATTGCCATCAGATTTGGATATTTTGAACTTTCCGGAATCATCGTTTTCACTATCGGTTTGTCCTTGGATAACGGAATTGATTTTCCTTTTCTGTTTTTCATTTGTTCTTTTGTAATTTCTTACAGCATTCGATCTATGACCCGTGACCTTGCATATTAATTGCTCATCTACACCAGCGTCGTACATCCTAGCTCGAAGCGAGTGGTTAGTGCGGTAACCACCTATACCTGCTTCCTGACAAATGCTAGCTACAACGTTAGCGAGGCTATGTCTACCAATTGGTTGATCAGCATACCAAATGTTTCCGTTTGGAATTTTCAAAGGTCTCAAGTACAATGCATCGGCTTTCCTTGGAAACGGTGGACAGTGAGAAGCATATAATTCAAACAAATTCACAACACACCTAGCTTGGTTTTCTGTATTTTGATATGCCACCACAGATTTTCTTTTAACGTTTTTATGCTTGATACCTCCTTGGTCTGCCTTTGATTTTGCTTCAGTATAAATCAAACACTTTAAACCATTTTTTTCATTTATTTGAAACTGTGATGAATTTCCCCCTTTTAAATCTCTGTGTTCCTGGCCACCTCTTAATGCAAAGTTTATACCTATTAAATAAACTAACGTATTCAATAAATGACGAGCGTTACCAGATCCTAATGAATCGCTTGCCCATAACTTTTCTTCCTCCTCCAAAGAAATTTCTTCGGCCTGTTTTTTAGGAACGTGAACGTCTGCTCGTAATTTCATTACATTATCTAGGGAATTTTTTATCTGAATAAAACTAGAATCAGATAGAAACTTATGATTATATCCAAGTGTATCCATGTATAACTGTAAACAAATAACTAGAGAATAAAGCGTATCTGGTGGATATTCAGTTCCATCAGTTTTACGAACTTCACAAATAAAGCGGGAAATGGAATAATTCAATTCATCAAGCGACATTTCAGCCAGATCTACGCGAATTGGACTAAGTCCCACATTTGGATCATTCGCCCTAATATTTCTGGTAGATTTCCATTGTTTGAATAAGGTCGTTGCCCACTTGATTTTGCTCATGGTACTGTCAGCAAACCTACAATATTAAGAAAAAATAATAAATATTCAAGCAAACACGCAGCAAAAATACATATCTACTCTATATTTCAATAATATTAATCGCATATTGCAGTTATGAGAGAGAGAGAGAGAGAGAGAGAGAGAGATCAGTAAAGAGAGTTGAATTTATAAAAGAGTATGATTAGGGTAGACGTTAACGAGACAGCAACCTAACGATATCATGAAAAAAAGGTCTATGAAGGTCAGCATACACGACTAAAAAACAAATGTCTATAAAACGAATATTTTCTAATAATGTATGAATAAAGGGAGACGTGGTGTATACACCAATGAGACAGCAACCCAACGATACAATATAAAGGATATCTAGATAGGCGACAACATATACAGTTTTCAACAATAAACAGCTTCATATCGTCCCGAGTTTAAAAAAGTTAATAACTTAACACAAACTGTCAAAGATCTGACAATACGAAATTCCTAAAAAAAAATACACAAAAAAACCAAGAATATAGGACATGCAAATATATGATTGTTTTATGTCACTAGTTATATCTAACTATAGAATTATACATTGCTCCCAAATAGCTCCTGATATAGAAATATAGTATTTAACCGTATTTTGTATTTCCGGCTGTAATCAAGTATCAAATGGAAATTAAATTCCGAACCTTAATCTTACTATCCATATCTGTAAATTCGTTGGTTAAAAACTTAAATAAACACTGTTTGTGTTTTACCATGATGTATTGTATAATATAAGTACTTTTTTGTGCACAAGTAAGAAAAAAACCCAGTATAAATAAGAAGGCGATATTGGTCTAACTTTTTAGTCCGACTGTGACAAAATACTGAAGAAAACTTGACGGCCAGTCGAATCTTTTGTGAGAAGTTATTTGCTAATTTCTAAATATCAAACTAAATATTTATTTATATAATATATCAAGACAGACAAGGGAAATTACGCAAACTTCCTTATTTTTTTTTATGTACAGATGAACGAGAAGACTTTATCACGGCATACAACTGATCCTTATCATTTTGTATGAGACCTTTATGATGTAATCATGCACAAAGGAAGACTGCTTTACATTTTGCTTTTATTGCTTCATTTCCAGAGTTAAATGGGTCATGTTATATATTTCTTAGTTAACTAAGTATAATCGAAAAAATATCAACATGATATTTGACTGACTGTTGATTGCTTAACGTCCAGTGGCAACTATTTCATAACCTAAATGATGACAAAGCACGCACAATGCCTCATGATTTAGAATTACTGTTTATTTTGTGTTTTGAACAAAACGTCAGTTTATATATATATACATCAAACAAAAGTTACTTACTTCTTTGATTGCATATCTTCGATTTCTTTATCTGTCTTTGGCTCGTGAAATCTTCAAGTTGATGGTTTGATGACTTTTACTTTCAATTTTTGAGACATTTATAAGTAATTCATCGTCAGACTGTATTTCGGATTGGAAAAACCTTCGTCTTTAGAAATATCAGAACATGCAACTGAATATGTTTCACTAGTAGTAGTAGTATCATATCCCAAGAAAAAATTACATAAATCCAAGTTATCATCATTGGTTTCTTGTGAAAATGTGTTTTGCGTAAGAAAAATTTCCTCACCGTCCGAACGTGACATAATCCAAACTTGGACACTAGCTCCTATGGACTTTCTTGTTAAAATCAACCCAATTTAAAGCAACTGTTGTAAAAATAACTACTCACATAGTTTAGTAAATTCTTTTAAATTTTAAAAGGTTCAGTGAAGGGAATGGTCAAGTGATCAATAATTTATATATTTTATTGTAATACAAAAATTGCAAATATTGTAGTGTGTTTGTTATTTTTTAAGTGTGTTTTAAGTGATAGAATGTCCAAATAACTGTCCATTCCTGGGAAATAATGGGCGTCGGCCCTTCGGGCCTCCACTCCATTATTTCCCAGGAATGGACAGTTATTTGGACTTTCTCTATAACTTAAACTACAATCCATTACTTTGCAAGTTCCTGCGGGACTAAGTTTCCCCTGTATCCAATCCCTTGGCCTTGTCAAGCTCATTCAACCAATCAAAATCAGAATTAGGATGGTTATGTTTATTAATATTTACTGTTTGAATGTTCAAAATTACTTTCATTCAATGCTATCTGGGATTAGTGCCCTGTTTTTTTTTCAGGATTAATTTCAGCATAGTTGATAGCAATATTAAGCTTCTTCATGAAGCTTTGCCTTTTCATGAGAAACTAAAAGTTGCAACCAGTTACAAATAGGTATTTGTTCATTTTATTACTATTATCTTGCCGTTGTGGATCGCTAAAAGCATCAATGCATACTTTGCAAAACATCTTTTTTCTCTTTATCATAAAAAAAAAGCCATTTATGTAAACATGTCCTTAAGCTTCCATTCATTGTGATACGATCTTTCAGGTCTCTTTTTTCATAATATTTTCTTTTTTCACTCCATTATTCAAATTTATTGTCATTTTTTAAATTTTATACTCTTTTTAATGCCGAGTTTAGCCTCATCTTTAAAAGAAATGGGTCATGCACTAGGTACAGAGGCTGCCATGATGACTTAGATATCTGCTTCCTTATCAAAAATATTACTGTAATCTTTAGCAATGCTACAAAAGTTTATTTACAGCTGTTTCCAGTTAAAAAGTTTTCTAAATGAGGAAAGATCTATCGAGTAATATATTTTTCATTGTCCAACACTATTTTCAATGGTGGATTCAGACATTGTTTTCACCGGAAATGCTGCCATGGAGTTTCAAGTTCAGTTTATCATGTTTATTTACATATTTTTCGGACCACTTGGAACTTTTGATCATTTGTAAGTAAGTCCAGAGAAAATTCTATAGCAGGTAATAAGCAGTAAGATTGTTTTCTTTTTTCAAAACTACCTCTACCCTTTTTTAGGGGAAAAATTCATCCTTTTTCTGGAAATTGGGAAGTTTTGAATCAGAATTAATTGTACTATAACTTGAATTCAGAGACAAGACTGAACTTAATATAATTGAGAGGACAAGTCATAACAGTTCATTATTTTAATTTTCAAAGGTCCATTTTTCTGTCCTTTAATCCCTTGAACATATTTACAAGTTATTCAAGTTGTCATCAGTTAAATGCTGTCTTTTTTGCACAGTTTCTTCATGCAATATTTTGAATTGTGAGACATTTTCAACCGGAAAGGAACTTTATGGGGAGGGGAAAGAAACGGCAAAAATGACGGTACTTAATACATTGAAAACCATGTGTGTTAAAACACATTGATGACTCTAATCAGAAACCTGGATCTCAAAAGCGCTTTCATAATATCAAAATATTAACATGAATACAAAATTTACGTACATTACTACCGATGCCATCACCGTTTGGGAAAAATGTTCATCTTATTGGGAGGAATTTTTTGCCAATTTTTTCAGTAATTGGGAATTTTCTCTAGGGGAAAAAGCCTAATTTCGGAGGTCATTTAATTTGAGGCAAGCAATATCACTGATAGGCTACTATAAAGTGCAGGAAACTGTATCACATAAATGACACAAATATTACCAGAGAGTAATGAATGCTATGTAAATTAAAAGTAAAATAACAAAAATACTGGTTTCCAAGGAAAATTCAAAACGGAAAGTCCCTTATCAAAAGGCAAAATCAAAAGCTCATACACATCAAACGAATGGAAAACAACTGTCACATTCCTGACCTGAAAGGATCCTCGTTTTTACAATGGAGAATGTTTAGGAGATGTGAAGGTCAGGATTATACCTTTCAAGAACAATAAAAGGTAGGACAGTAGTTGGTTTTTTTTATTTTAGTACATGTACATGATGTATGTTTTAGGTTCCACTAAGTGCAAAACCATCATCCTGAATGAACGCTATTGATACACCAAAAACCTGTCGCCATTTTTACATGACGGTGAGTATATCATCTATATATGTATGAGACCAACAAAACAGTGGCAGATTTAGAAAGGCCCTCCCTTATGGAGCTACATATATGGTTAACGTATAGATATTTACATGTTGTACTCTCAACATGGTCTAGTTTGAGTTGAGGGATCCCCCTTCTTCAAAATCTTGGATCAGCATCTGCAAAATTACAGTCACAGACATGACAGATAAGAACCGTACTGTTGGTTGGTAACTTTTTTCATCATAACTTTCTTTTTAAGTAATGAACAAGCTTATCAAAGACCCAAAACTTGAGGGTAAATCATCACATGTGAGTGTACAGCCATATACCATGTACAAGTGTAATTGTAAACAATAAACTGTTGGAAGTTGACAGTCTACAAAGAGATTTATTGAAAATATTACCATGTGATTGTTATATTGAAATAGTAGTCGTTTAAAAGAAATAATTATAAAACAGCTTAAGATGTGATAATTATACAAAAAATAGATTAATCAACTGTGAAAATCGTCAAGTTGAAAATCAACAACGTGTTGCAGTGCTAATTCTGTGTGATACACTACAATTACATGTACATTCGATGTGAAAACTATATGATCTTAAGCAGAATTACTAAATGTTTCTGAATGTAAGAGGATCTTTTGTTGTCAGTACAAGCTGTTTGAGATATATTGTGTAATTTTACCTGCAAACTTTGATGTCATACCATTTTGTGCCTAACATCCGGGCAACATGTTTTCATGACCTGAAACAAGGTCACGGTCAATACACAATGCACAGCGTGATTGTAGCGAATGTCAATGCTGAATATTCTGTTCTTAACTTCAAAATATTCCGATTTTTTCACACTAAAACTCCACTTTTTCGAAATGAGTTCATTGAAAATCAATCACACTGAAACAACTCACATTCCATAAATTTTACAAGATTGTAGTGCGATCACTGTATTTGTAGTCATCACAGAATTATCGTTCGTCATATACATGACAAATCAAAGGTTCAATAAATCTTGAAGAGTGATTAAAAAAGACAATTTTAAGTACATGTACAAGGAAAATATACTAGAAATTACACAAGAATATAAATATCTTGGAGTATTATTTAAACCTTCAGGTAGCTTCACCAAAGCACTGAATATTTATGTAAAAAAAAGCCAAGAAAGCCGCATCATTTTGCATTTACAAAAGATCACAAAACACTGCATTCAGACAAACTAAATATATTACCAATTCTTAAATTATTTGACTCATGTGTAAAACCTACACTTCTTTACTGTAGTGAAATTCTATGTTAAGATACTTTGTTGAAAAATAATGTTTCCATGGGAGTCTAGATCTTTCATATCAACGAGCCTCCTCACGGTGTGTTTGATTATGTGATTACTTGGCCGTTTTTATAGTGATTATTTGATTACCAGACCAAACATTTTATGATTATTTGATTATTTGATAATCTAGGACTGTATTTTTGATTATTTGATTATCTTGTTTAAAAAAATAATTAATGTGATGCCACGGTGATTATATTGGCCAAAAAATTGTGATTATGTGATTACTTGGACACCCCCATGAGGGGCCTCATCAGCGTGTAAAAGTTCAAATTAAATTTTCTAAATACATCTTAGGAGTTAACAAAATTGCAACAAATTTGGCACTTTTGGGAGAATTGGGTATCGGATCTCATGTTCTGTTGATGCTATTAACTTTTGAGTAGGGTTAGGGAGCTACCATTTGATTTTTTTTGGGGGGGGGGGCTATGATGAAAAATTTTGTCCTGCCTATTTATTTTCCCCTCTATTCGGTCCTGCCTTTTTATTTTTCACTCTATTCGGTCCTGCCTTTTTTTTTAGTTTATCCTGACTTTTTTTTTTACATAGATTGTCATCCTGCCTTTTTTTCGGCAAATAATCTCATCCTGCCTTTTTTTTTACTCAAAAATCCTGGCCCCGGCGCCATAAAACTTTTATTTTCTGAGTAAAAAAATATTCTCAGAATGAATTATATTACTCAGCTAAGAATAAGAACTTTTTTCTCTGCCATAAAAAAATATTCTCAACTTTGAGAATATTCTTAGCTGAGAATTTTTTTTCTCAGCTGAGAATTTTTTTCTCAGTGATGTAAGCGGTAAAATAGCTGTTTGAAAACTAAAAAGTGTACCTAACTTCGCAAAAATGCAGGTTTTATCTCTTTAGCAACACTGTAAAACATAAAAAGAATCTATGATAGATAAAATGACAAGTAGCATTTTGTAAGCATCAGTAAATGGACAGAAAGTCACAGTCCTGACAAAAAGTCACAGGATATAAAGTCACAAATAATGTGTGGATAATTGTTTGAAATTATAAGAGAAAGATCTTGTAATATTTGAGTTATTAACCCGTAGCTTGTTATAAATATATATAACTTTTTATATTTCTCATACAACTTCTGTCTTAAGATACACGTATTAATGATTATGCTTTATAAATGGCGAAATCTTCGAAATGTAATCTCCTTGGAATGTAACATTTGTTGACGTTTACGTGAAGAGTGCTTTCTTTCACGTCCGCACTTCTATCGAGTATGGTATGCCAAATAAACATATTACGGATCAATGGCATACATTATGTATTCAGACGACATAAGAAGACACCATGTGACAATTTTAAGCCAATTGTTTATTAAAGTGAAACAGAGCTGCTTTTTTCTCAGATCTACCAAAAAACAAAAAAAACAAAACATAACAAAAAATAAAAACCAACAAACCGGATATTTTTATATCAATATGAATGCCAGTAAATAATTTTAATCTCTTTTTAATACTAAAGATATGTAACTTTTAAAATTAATATAAATTTGATACAGAATTGAAGACGATTTAACAATTATGCAAGTAGTCATAAAAATTGCTCCTCATAATGAGTTTAATATATTGTACAGGAAGAGAAAATGAAAGTACGATGTCGTGTGAGAAGGCATGGCATATACCGGTATTGTCCATTACATTTATTAACAACACCTTGTACAAATATTTTTTTCGAAAATAAAAACAGTTAAATAGAACAAACAAAACTATCCGTCACAATGATATATGAGGGTCTTGATAAGGGGAAAGGGGGAGCGTGTTCTATTTTTCCATATTCTGTAATTCTATTGGCCATTTTTCTCTATTCAGTAAGAAATGTTTATTCTGTAAATGATTCTTGTTTTATAATTGTGCATATGGAAATTTCCTTCTGTATCATGATTTTGACATGATAGATTTTTTTTCTGTATCAAAGACATATGTATGACGACATTACCCAGTAATACAACCCCCCCCCCCCCCCCCCCCCCCCTTTTCCCCTCCCCCGAATCTGTCACTGTACTGCACAAATGATACATTAATCAATTTTGATTAATATCTGTTTAAAACCAAACAGGGGGGAAATTATTTTACTTTCTTTGTAATAATTTGGATATCTGAGATAATAATCAGTAGTATTAGTAGGGTGACATTACATGTATTTGGTTTGTAGATATGAGGTTCCAGTACTGCAATCTAATTAAGGTAGCTGTAGTCATTTGTAATCAAAGTACTGATGTACTGAACATCGGATGACCGCAAGTTCTTGTGGATGGTCACAAGCACTTGTCTCAGAAAAAAATCACATCTCTATACCTGAAACTGAGGTTATTGTACAGAGATATATTTTTATCTGAGACAAGTTCGTGCGTGGATAATGAATAAATGACAGGAAATTCAACCTCAACGTAATAACTACTATATTGTAGTGATACAAATCAGTATACACTGGTTTGTTGTTATATATTATATTAATATAACAGTTACATGTATATATAATTTTCATCCATTTGTATATCATTCTATTCTAATAATAGTGCAGTGCAAGTGCATGGTGGACACTCTTCTGTAAAATTTCGATGTTTCTAAAAGATTGGATATGAGCAGGTATTCATATTTTCCTGCAAAACCAATATTCCATGCAGAGTTACCGGTCCTTGCGGGGATTGCTGCAAAATGTTCTTGAGATATTCTTCCGCATGGGTTAACACAATTTTTCGGTACGTGTGCATAGATATTATCAATGATTTTTTTACTTATATATATATCTAACGACAAAACATTTTCATATTATTAACATGATTAATTTATGTTCTAAACAAAAATATTTTTTTCAGTATTCATTTAAGAGATGCATTTGTAACAAAAAAATAAGGAATGCTATTTTGCACTTGTTAATGTGCGCGTATTTATCATGTTTATAGATCGGTTACAAACCCAAAACGAAAGTTACGTAATGGAAATCTAGGCGATAGCAATACATTGGAATGCCCTCACGGTCATCGCGATGTAAAAAGTAGTTTTTTTAAGAGAGATCTGAAAACTAATAGAAAAAAAATCGACCTCCTGAACTAGATTTTATCCTTGATAGACCAACTGTCTAACAAAATATAAAATATTGCCTATTTATCAACTATTTTGGAGAATATTAAAATATATTTAACATTTATTGGTAGTGAACAAAAAATGCTATACACCCCAAAAATTCATAGACAAAGTTATCCGTCCTCGAGTATCAGTCAAATAGCCCTTACCAAACAATTGAAGTTTTAAATTGCAATGAATTATGGATCTTACAAATCTGAAACCGAATACGTAGTAAGCATGCTGGCGAAAGAGACTTTTTGATTCTGCAATTCTGTTTAATTCCCGTTAATTGTTCATTTATAAATTTTGAAAATATAAAGAAACTGAGATTTCAACTCCATCGGGCAAAGTTGACCTTCGACTCATTTAATTGGCTATTATTTTAAAGTCCTTTTGGTCATATTTCTGATTTGTTGTTTTCAATTTGTTTTCCACTATTGCAGAGCTATTTGTTGTCAATGGTCATCTTGGTCTGACCTCTGTCACGAACTGTTTTATCAGTGTTGTAATGTGTAATCATTTCTGACACAATACATGAGAAGGATGCAAGGTTGACTTTGACTGCAATAGGGGACGAAATGATACGCCAAGATTTGTTAACTCTTCATGCAAGATCGTGATTTTGGAGCAATATACTGATGCTCACGAATGTACAGAAATTGCATCGCTTATGTACATCAATTGACCAATTCCGATTACGATCAGTTCAATATTACATTCGTTTTACCTTATTCTTAATTTATATATAAAAAATATATACATTTTAGCACCCAATTTTTCAGTCTATTTTCTTTAATTTTGTTTTGCACATTTTTTTTTTCATTTTTTTTATTGGGGGGGGGGGGGGGATTTTCTATTCTGTAAATCACCTCGTATATCTTGGGTAATTTCCAATAAAGATCTGATATTCAAGCGGGATATATAATGCATAATACTACTAGAGTAGGAGTATCTACAATGAGAAGCTGTTTAATTGGTCGCTTTTTTGTGATCTCTTTTAAAATACGGTAAGATTAATATGCTACAACCAACAAATTTTTAATTCTCATATGCTATCACAGAATTATAAGACATATTTTGATTTCTAAAGGTCAAATTATGTTGTATGCTACTAAATTGTTCAATGTTCAAAGAAAATGTTACGGCCATATTTGGAATATTTCTACTATATTGCATTTTTTGATAGTATCAACATACTTCTACTCATTTTACAAAAATCATACTTATTCATTTATTTCTATGAATAGCAGATGCTGCATATGGATTTTATTGGTTATAAAAGATATTGGATGCTCTCATGATTATATTAAATAACTTTTGTAGTTGTTAGATTGTTTTGTTTTAAAAAAAAAACCACTATCATTTCTGTTTATAGCATATTTTAGAAAAGTGTCTACAGAAAATGAAGAAAAATATTAAAATGGCATTTTCACCTTTGATAGATGCTGATGTAATTCTTTTAATTCTATATTGAATACCTCAGCATTTGGATGTTGGCTTCCAATTATTTTGAGATTCTTGC